AAAAGATCTGATTGGTTGGAATGTGCTAGTCCGACCAACGAAATATTCAGGGTATGAGTGCATCGAGTATAATACCGGAAAGGGACGAGTATTAACAACGCTAGATATACCTTAAGATTCATTACAGCCATCGTATTTACCGTTCAGCAGTAGTCAAACCATAACGATCCTTCATTAGACATACTAATACCAACACTTTCTCTTAGATGAAACAATGACTGAGACACAGCATTTGTTTTACAATGTCTTTTTTGGGCGACAAAAAAAAGATTAGCATGCCGCCTGCTGATATTGGGGACGTATTACGCCTGGCGCATGCGCAGAATTTTACGCTCCAGTTGGCGTCGGTTTATGTGTTAGGTAGCATTTTTTTGACCCGTCTCGTAGGAGACGGAGCCGATCTGATCAGTCGACTGCTTTTCTGCCGACGGTCGGTCGTCGGGTTGGTCGTGCGGGCATTGAGATAAGGGGAAGATAGGGCGCGAAGTATGGGGTGAGGAGAGAGAAAGGAAGGGGATAGAGAAGAAAAGTAGGAGTAGAAATAGCATTTATGCTCTATAATCTTTCTTGATTAAGGTATTTTTGGGTACTTATGGACACAAGTAAAGGAAACTTGTTTGATATTTTACAACACCGGCACCGTATTTTCGATTATAGCCAGCTTCACACTTGCGGAACGTTTTTTTCTGCGTTTCAATTGTACCCAATCGTGTAATACATAGAATACTTGTGTCATTGAAGTTTGCACAGTTGCCCATTGTTTTTTTATTTTCTGCATTGCAATTCTTCTGCTATTTTAAAATGTTCTTTAGGTCTTATCTTATAGATTTCATATGTTAGCTCTGCACTCTCCAGGATGGGCTTAAAAAACAAGAATAAATTTTATCTAAATATGGCCATTATACATAATGTGAGAAATGTGTCAATAGTGGAAGCAGAATTATTGAAGTGAAAATAAAGGTGAAGTAATATAGGGGTGAATACAAATATGCAAATCACTCTCCCACCCTACCATGACACGGACTGAAATGCTCTCCTGTCAAAAGGCTGTTATCATAAAAACTTGGAGGTCTTCAATAAAACCTCCCCTCTCTTATTGTAAGGCTGTATATCAGAAACCACCTCCAATATAATTTTTTTTAAGAAGTAGTTACTTGTCTTTTTCTGTTTGTGGTGATTATGGTGATTATAATGTATTGTCCTTTTCATATCAAATGTATTTAAGAGGTGAAAATGAACCTAATAAATAAAATAACATACACATCTGCTGTTACCAAATGTCACATCACCACCATTATGACATTATCACACTTATTGTTGTTGTCAATAAAAATACCCACACTCCAATGATTGGAGTTTAATATAACAATACAAAGAAATTTGGAGTTTTTTTTTATTTTATTTAGCATTATTATTAAATAGGGGAACAATATAACTGATCTTTTGACATTTGAAATGAAATGAATTTCACCTGGACTTAAAAGAACATTTAAAGTCAGTAAATAGTAAGAAAAACTCAATGTGGTTTTTTCCTCTTTGGCAGTTTTTGGTAGATACCTTTTTCTGCTTCTTGGTGAAAACGAAGAAACGTATCCTGTAATCAACAAAGACAACAGAAACAGAACATTTGACCCTTTTTCTGTCATTTCTCTCCTCTTATTGCGTCAGATAGAAGAGTCTAACGCTCCCGCTCTGTGTCATTAGAAAGGTCGCGGCTGATGTAGCAGTAAAGGTCACACACACACACACTCATGTACAAGTTTAAACAAAAGAAAGAGTGAATGGATGTGTGTGT